CCCCCCCCCGGGGGGGGGGGGATATGCAAAACACCCTTTGGCCCCCCGCCCTTTGAAGATCCTGGATCAGGTGGGGTCGAGGAGTGCTTCCAAGCTAGACGAATGGCAGCATCCTCCAGAGTGGGCCAAATCTGCAGGCGCAGCCAGGTTTTCGGCTGACCTGCAGCACTCTCCCCAATCTGGATTTAACCTCCATTTCTCCACCTTATCACACACACACACACACCCAGCACTTAAGACTGTGGAGCACCCATGCTCCTTACACGCTGGCTTCCAATCCCCGCGCCCATTGAAACGTCAATATAAAAATGGCATTTGGTAATGGCTAAATAAATAAACGCAAATGGAAAAAGCCGCAAGGAGGGGGGGAGGGAAAAGTAAAGAGATTAGGAGACCATCAGAAGGGGTGAGATCAGCGAACAGGCAGACTTTGGTCACGCCATCCCCGAGTCTCATTCTTGGCATTTTCCGGATGACTTGCCTTCCGACTGGAAGCATCCGCTTGCTCGCCGTGCCTTCCGACTCCTTTTTAACCAGAACCACCATGCGGCTGGATGTGAGCCCTTTGGATCGCTAGCAGCGAGAACGCCTTCTCTAAAAGCACCGAGAAAGAGGGGAACGAGCAAATGAACCTGGAAAGTGGGACCAATGGAATATAAGTCAAGATAAGGTGGGTTCTTGCAGGTAGAGGCGAAAGGTAAGACGTCCTGCAGGCTCCGCGTCCTCCAGCCATTCGTGCAAATAAACACGTGCTTTCAGCCTGGCCAGCTTCTGGCACACAGCGCGTTCCTTCATGTGGCGATTGCTGAGTTAAATAGCAGGAGCTCTTGGCCCTACTGTTGAAGGCAGGTTCCTCCAAATTGCCTGCTGGAAGTTACAGGCGATGTAAGAATGTATCTGAAGGGTGCCAAGCTGGAGCTGGGCAGCTGAGGACTGCTGAGCACACATCAGCAAGAAATGGCATCTTTCTGGGCCCGGATGTCAGCCTGTCAAGGAACCTGGAGATGAGGTTGGGGAAGGTAGGAGAGCAAGGTTAAAGCGGGGCACTTGGGAAGGGAAGACGCAGACCTGAGATGGGTGGAATTGTGAAAGAAACTCAAAAAAAACCCATAATTTGTTCGGTATAAGAGAAGACAGACAGAAACTTGGGCAGGCTTTCAAGATTCTGTGATTATACCCTACAACCGGCAACGCCCACTCACAGCATTTCAACAACTTCCCATCCCCATGTGGGCAAAATTAAGGGCATCCCTGATGCAGTAGAAAATGAGAAAAAGAGAACAATTGCTTCCTGGATTCAAAACATCAGATCTGGAGACATAAGATAGGAAAGGCTGGGCTTTTGGGAAGGGAGGAGTTTGGAAATGTTCCTGCCTGTCCAGGTGAAGAAGGAAAAATGAAATGTTAAGGAAGATCCTGGTGGGGAGGGGCATTTGGTGACTGGCATTGCCCACCACAGAATGATGTGTAAATTCTGCCCTGCAACACCCATGACAGTGCCAACCGTGAGACATCAACATTTCCAAAGTGATAAATGAGCTATAAAAATGTGTGTGTGGGGGGGTGTCTCTGACTTTTACAATGTCAGCATCCCAAAGAACACAACATTTAGGGCATTTGTTTTTCATCTTGGTACTGAATCCTCAAGCGAAAATATCCTTGGTAGAAAGCCAATCCAGACGCCTCACTAAGAGTGCCAGAAATGAACACCGATAGAATCAATGAAGTGGTGAAAAGACATGGAAAATCTTTAGGCTGCCTTACACACACACACACACACACACACACCACCCGACCCGTTATCACAGAAACTCTTGCGATAGCTCAGATCTCCAATCTCAGCACGGCCAGAGCTAGGTTCCCACTACGGGCCGGCTCAGTCAGAAGGTCAGGGGTGGTAGAGAATGACCCTCGCCCTTTTCCAAATGCGTTCACCTTGGTGGGAGAGGGAAGGTGCTCCTGGATCCTGATTATCTGTTGGCCTCCAGGGCGTCTCCTTCACCCTTAAAAAGGCTGGGGGAGATTTTGGCAAGAGCATTATCACCAGGCAGAAGCGTGGCTCCAACTTGGTCACCCAACAGCCAGACTCGGCTGCCGAGAAAGATCTAATCACGGATGCGTCACACAGAGGTGGCTCTCGCCTTGCATCACCGGGATCAGGGAATCAGGCAGGCTTCCATGCCTCGGGAGGTGCCCATCCTGTTGTCCTTTTCCAAGACTGGCTGCGGAAAGCAAGGTCCATCCAATGTCACCATCACAAAGGGGGCACCCCACACACAGGAGTCACACACGCACACAGAGGCCAGGTTGGTTGGCAACTGCCAAAAACGGCCGCCCTCAGTGGGTGTCAGGTCACAGTAAAGCTGGCTTCTGATTCAGCACCTCTAAAGAACTACTGATATTTTTAATGTAAGAAAAGGAGGAAATACCATTGCTCATCCAAGGCCAGATTCTAGCCTTAATTTTCGCAGCTCAGAGCAAAATCAAGTCCATACACCGTAGCACATTTTCACCAATCTGGTACTTGCCTGCTGGGTCCCTTCTCCCATCACCCCAGACAATATAGCTTGCTGGCTAAAGGATGGGATTTGTAGTCCAGCACATCAGGAGGGCACTGCTCTGGGAAAGGCTGGATCTGGAACCTGAGGGACTAACTCCAGAAGGAATTCTGAAGAAAAAGCTGGAGATGGAAAAAGCAATTTCTGGTTTGGCTGGGTTTGTGATTGTGCTAAGGCCTAAATTATAGTTTCAAAACCCCAGTGGCTGAATTCCCACAAGCCACAAACTCGCAAATCCCATTGTAGCTTTACAGTAGGTGTGAATGCAATCTTAGAGCAAAGAGCTGTGTGAAGGGCTGGAATAGGATCAACGCAGTCAGGCAGTAGGCATTTCTACACAAAACAACCTTGACTGGTTGGACTTGGTTACTATGTGGATGGGAGGCCACCAGGAGATTCCAGAGTGGGAGGCTAAACTGGACAGGCCTACCTTTCCAGACAACTCCTCCCTGCCAAGAAAGAGACCTGTCTATGGAGTTCCCAGGAGTCAATCTCATCTTGAGGGAACCTTTAACTTGCCCTACCAAGGATTACCCAGGAATGGCTCCTCTTGGGCATCCTCTTCTTCATGGTGCCAAAGACCAAATCCCCATCGCTGCACCACCTCCAACTGAAACATCAGCCTACCTGGAAAGAGAAGAGGGGTGAGGAAGAAACTCAAGACCGTCCTGCTTTGATCCTCTTGGGCATAAGAGGGAGGAAAAGAGAAACGCGGTCAGGTTTCCGAGATTCTGCTCTTTATAACAATAGAGTTCCAGTAGTTCTTGTGCTCCCTGTTGGTGACCTGGCTGATACCGAGGGTGGACTTGAACCCCGGTCTCACTGTCCCAGTCCAACACCTTCACTGCTTCCCCCCACCTTGACCGCCCAGGGACTGTCCAGTTCCATCAAACTGGCCATTTAGCTGGCTTCCTTCAGCACTTTTCTCTGAGAATTGCTGAATGATTCCATTGCAATTCTTTTAAGGTTCACCTTTAGTTGCTGCCATTGCTGTTCTTGCCAAGATAATGTGGAATGGCTGACTTGGGGGAGGCCAGAAGTGGATTTCCATAGCTGGGTTTGTACAACACCAAAGTCAGGGTGTAAATGTAGGGAAGGCAAGGGAAGCAGCTGAGATGGGACTTGCAGGCGCAGGGCCTCTGCCTGGCCCCCCTTGCACCCATTCCTTGCTCCCCATCTTCAATAAACCTGAGTTAGTGTAAGGCTAACGTATTTGGGTTGCAGGCGTTTAGGTGACCACGAGAGGGCAGGAGAAACCAATATTCACCATCTCTTTGTCACCCTCTAATGGTGGCTCAGAGTTCTGCAGCCCAGAGATGGAACCAACTACAGTAATTGTCTTGCCAGGTTGTGTAACTCAGAGAACCCCAAGGACTCCACAGTTCAAACCTGAGCTACATATATTCGACTCTACTGGGGCATGATATGATTGATTTGTTTGCACACAACATGGGATGTGAACCCAGCAATCAGGTTTTGTTCACCTGGGCTTGGGGATTGGGATGTTGTGTGAATCCACCCTTGGTGAACCCTGAACCCTTTGTAGCCCTACATAAGGAGGCCAGATATCTTCCAATGCTTGAAAGTTGTTCTTTTTTTTAAAATCACGGCTCTGCAAGTTAGAGGAAAATGATATTCATATGGTGTGTTGGAGGGGCAAAGGGATTCTTTGCCTCTAGACTACTGTGATTAATCCCAAATTAGGGTATTAATTTCTGTGTTGGAGAAATATCTCAAGGAGTTTCTGAGCAACGGGCTCTGGATTTAATTCTTTCGATCCCGTGAGGTTCTGGAGCTAATAAAGTTAAGTCACGTCCCCGCAAACATGTGGGAACATGAGGAAATATGCTGGGCCAGGCCATTGCAAGGTGCAGCAAACCGGGGCCTCCCTGCGTTTTGCATTGCAAAGACACAGAGCGAGGAAAATAATTATGGAGTTCAATCGTCTGCTAGGGACGGGACAGAAAATCTTTTTTGGCGTATTCTGGGATTTTGGCTGCGACCATCTGAACATCTGCTGGATGCAACCAAAAGGGTTGTTGGCATCTTTTCGCATTGCAAAGTCTCGCCTCATTTTGCATCCTTGGCGGGATGGGGACGGGGTGAGGAAGACTGAGTTTCTGGCACAGTGTTTCTCAACCTGGGCCACTTTAAGATGGGTGGACTTCAACTCCCAGAATTCCCCAGCCAGCATGAGAAACACAGTTGAGAAACACTGTGCTAGCATTTCACCAAAGATCGCAGATTAAGCTGCCTGCTTTTCTCAGCACATGATGGTCCAGAATTTGCAGGCTGCAATTAGCCAGGAATCTGCCTCCCACAGACTAACCCCCCCTCGGCTCTTCTTTTTGTCCCCAGAAGTAAATCTATGCTTGACACGCTTCTATGGGAAAAGAGTCGGTCAATCTGACTGGCACCGCTTTTTCCTTGGCCTTCACCCAAGTTCCTAAAACTTTAATTCCCTTAATTTTATAGCGGAAAGGATATCGATGCAGACAAAGTCGCCCACTGGAACCTGCAGCTGGCCCTTATTTCCACAACGGACACTGCAAAATACATTCCTGAGTTTGCTCGCCGTTGCTCGCGCTATGGGGTATCTGCGGGCTGGGTTCCAAACAGTCACAATGGCTGCAACGCGCATAAGGACAGGCAGAACTTCATACTGCCCTGGCCGCCACCTTGACTGTCCTGACCCCCCTCTGCCGATAGCTGTGCCCACCTGGCTTGGGTGCTCGCTCTGGAAGATCGTTTTGGGCTTGCCCAGGCTGGGGGGCCCAAAGACGCAGCCCCACCTGCATTCCTGTGGGCTCCAGGAGACAGCGAGGCAGTTTAGGCCTGAGGGGAAAAGCCACAAAATGGGCAGATGCTTCGTTTACATATGCGAGATGGCAGATTTAACCTTGAGCATTTCCAGGTGGGGCTTGGAAAGACGTGTGGGGAGCACTGCCAGTCGGTTCAAGTAAGACTTTTTAAGGGGTTGTTTTCTCTGAGTTGAGTTTGGCTCCAAACGACTTAAGGAGCACATTGTGTTCTTCACAACAGGATGAAATTGGTTTGCCCTTTGGGAAATACTTTTTCCATTTCCCACTCTAGCCCACACCTCTAGGGTTTCCTGGTGGCCTCCCATCCAGGACTCACC